CTGCTCACCATCCCTCCTCTCTCTAGGACAGCTCCCTGTCACACCCTCCCTCTCTGTGAAGCCAGGCCACACCGTGTCCTCAGGAGAGAATGTGACCCTGCTGTGTCAGTCATGGAGCCAGATGGACTCTTTCCTTCTGTCGAAGAAGGGGGCTGTCCATCACAAGCTGTATCAAAGATCAAAGTTCCAAGATCAACAGTATAAGGCCGAATTCTCTATGAGTGCTGTGACCTCAGCCCTCGGGGGCACCTACAGGTGCTATGGTGCTCGAAGCTCGGCCCCCTACCTGTTGTCACAGCCCAGTGCTCCTGTGGAGCTTGTGGTGTCAGGTAAGGTGTCCATCACCTCTCTGAGTTGAGGGTCTTTCACTAATCATGTCCTCTGCTAGGATGGGAGTGAGAGCCTCTGGGAGAGGTGGATTTACCCTTCAGGGAGGTACAGGTCAACATTCAGAGATACCCACTCCATCTTTTCAGTGGAATCCAGCAGGTTTCAGGTGGACAAGAGGATAACTCTAGTGAGCCACAGAGCAGACATAATTCGGTGAACAGAGACAGGCTTCCAGGGTCAGTCTCCATCCTGCACCTCTTCCTGTCCTCATCCCCTAATGCCTGTTAGACCCTGAGTATCAGTGTAACCAGGCCTACAGTGCCCTAAAAACAGGAAGTGACCCTGCTCTGTTAATTGTGGATCCTGGCAGACAACTTCCCTCTGCACAAAACAGAAGCTGTAGACGCCCTTGTGCCTCTAAGATATGAAATATAGCTCAGCACTGCTAGACAGAATTCTCCATGAGTTCTGTGACCTCAGCCTTCAGGGCGATGTACAGGATCTGAGTGTGTGTTGGTGAGGGGTGACAGCTGAGAGTGACTTCTTCCTCCTGCACTGGGCGTCCCCATCTGAACAAGGGGGACTATCAAGAACTCTGTATTGCTGATCTTTGGGGATTCCGGGATAGGACCGTCCTTGACCTACTCTAGGCTCTAGCCGTCTATGGCCAGTCCTAATTCTCTCAGTAACTGTGACTCTTGAGAACAAAATGCTCATGGCATTTTACCTGTCAGCCCAGAGTGCTATGGAAACATCAAAGATAAAATCCCACAGGTTTGGACAGGTGTGGTGGCACATACCTTTTGTCCCAACACTCAGGAGGCAGAGGCAGGCAGATCTATGTGAGTTCAAGACCAGCCTGATCTACATAGTGAGTTCCAGCCTGATCTACACAGTGAGTTCCAGGACAGCTGGGGCTACATGGAGACCTTATCTCAAAAACACCAAAAAAATTCCCACAGGTTTAGAATCCACCCCCTTTCATGGATCACACGAACACACAGATCATTCGGATCATATTCTGAGAATCACATGTACTCAGAACTCCACATGAGAGCCCTCTGTACACACACACCTTGACCCAACTTTTCTTAAGCAATTGGTGTGAAGACGGTGGAGAACAAGCTGTATCAGCTGGTCGTGTTTTCCTCACTGTACCGGACAAAGGGAAAATTCTAGGTCTGTGGGGGAGGGAAGAGCTGGGAGAATTTGGGAAGAAGCAGGAGCTCTCCCTGAGCAGGAAATGTTTCTCAGTCTGTGAGGCTGAGATGCAGCTCCTCATCCACACCTAGGAGGTCCCTGGGTCCTCTCAGAACAGGGCAGGAGGCTGCCAGATCATGCTGGGGTCTGATTGTAGGGGGGACTGTGACTCAAGGAGACACATTCCTTTAGAGAGAAGCATCCTAGGCTGTAGGTAGCAGTCTGCATGGCTCCTCCTGAGCTCACCTGGGCTCCACACTCCAGATCTGAGGCTCAGGGGAGGCTGTGCGACTGCTCACTACAATGACGTGGGGATTCCTGGGCAGCAGGTATATTTTGCAAGTCAGTTTGTTTCCAATCTGCATTTTCTGTTTAGTCTTGTGTTTTGCTGTATATTATTGTTTTTCTGTGTGTCTGTTTTCTGACAAGGTCACCCAGTAGCCCCAGCTGGCCTAGAACTGACTATAGAGACCAGGCTGACCTCAGTCTCACAGGGATTAGTCTTCATCTGTCACCGTGCCCAGCTTTGGTGCTCTCGTTTTCTGAGACTTTTCAGAAAACGCCTTGGAGGCAGAGGCTTGATATCAGTGTCCTCTTCACGGGCAAGCACTCTATTGCATGGCATTCTCTGCACTTTGGACAGTAGTGGGTCTCTGTGTTGATAACCATCTGCTGCATGGAGAAGCTTCTTTGCTGAGAGCTGAGAGAAACATTAAAGTAAGGGATGAATAGTAAGTCATTAGGAGTTGTTTTGATACTTGTTCATTTAGCATAATGATAGTAGGCTCTCCCTGCAGTCTGTGTCCTCATTAGACACGGGTTACTTGTCCTGATATCAGTGTCAGGTATGAGGTCTGTCTTATGAAGCCGACCCCAGGTCCAATCAGAGAGTATTTGGTTGCTCCCACGATATGCATGCCACTATTGCAGTAGTGGGCATGCCTTGCCCGGCCAGTTGTTGTGGAAGCCGGCATGATCTTCAGTTGGGCAAGGTGGATAATGAATGTTCTCTTCTGCATAGCACCTTCCGGCACTGTCAAAGCTAGCCAGTAGAGATGAAGCTTTGAAGTCAGTACCTGCTCGATTTCCCTTTGTGTATCCTACAACTCATTTATGTAATGCTTTCAGCAGTAGGCTCTTACTGCCGAGTTCTGGTGGGTAACCACGAGCAGGGGCAATGGCCAGCATTGTTTGAGGGTCCTATCCAATTGTTTTTCAGTCACTGCTTTCTGATTTATGGTAAAAGTCATATCAATTACAATAAGGTTGAAATTTCAGCTTTTCATTTCATAGCTTATACAGGGTATTTTCATCATATCCATCCACCACTACTCCTTTCGACTCCTCCTAGTGACCCCCACCCCTTCTTCCAGCTTAATGTCCTCTATTTTGTTGTTATCAATAAATTTCTCAGCCCTTATGTGCAGGGTGTGGGGTCATCCACTGGGATGTTTGAAACATGCCAGTGACCTTGTCCCCAGAGGAGAGTGACACCCTCTTCCCCACCAGGCATCCACTGCCCATAGCTCCCCTCCTAGGGGTGGGGCCTCAGGATTCGTCTTCAGGTCACAGCAGCTACTGTGAGTACATGTGTGCAAATGCCATGTCCTGTCCACAAGTTACATGTCACGGCACTTGTCCTGATCTACCAGTTCTTACATTCTTTCTTCACCCTCTTCCATAAGGTTCTCTGAGCCTTGGACGGAGGGAGGTTTATGTAGGTGCTCTATCCATAGTGCGCTCACAGCTACTTACACTGCACACCTTTAAATGTTTTTTTGATTTTTATTTTCATTTTATGTATATGAGTGTATTGCCTCGTGTATGTAAGCACACCCATGTCATGGAGTGTCCTCAAGCTCAGAAGAGAGTGTTACATTCCCCTGGAATTGGAGTTACAGAGGGATGTTGGATGCCAAGTGGGTGCTGGGACTCAAACTCGGGTCCTCTGCAAGAGCAGTGTTCTTAACCACTAAGCCATCGCTCCAGCCCCTAATACTGCACACGTTCAATTGTCATGCATTAATTCTCCATGTCATACACAGAGAAGGACCTCATAAAGACATTTCACACAGGTATGTCATGTGCTCTTACCATGTTCACTCCCAGTCTTCCTCTTACCCAGGCTTCCCACCATGGCCACTGCTTCCCCAGAGTCCCACTGCTGCTTCAATGATGAACATGGAATTTTGAGTGTATATAGACAGTCTAGGGCTGGAGAGACGGCTCAGGGGTTAAGTGCACTGGCTGCCCTTGCAGAAGACCCGGGTTCTATTCCCAGTACCCACATGACAGCTTGCAACCGTCCATAACGCCAGTTCCATGGGACCCGACACCCTCTTCTGTCCTCCTCCAGCATTGCATGACATGACTGCACTTACATACATACAGGCAGTGCATGCATACACCAAAGAAAAATTAAAAATAAAATTAAAAATAAAATCTAGGTCCACAGTGAGAGAGCGCACGTGGAACTGTCTTCTGAGTTTCATTGCTTTGCCTCAGTATCATCTCCAGCTGCGTCCATTTCCACCCCAGTTCTCTTCTTGTAAGGCAATATTTCTTCCTTCAAACGCATACATTGCAATTGCACATTTATTATATAAAGATGTACATATGCATCTATTATTTTTACATTGTATGTTTACCTGAATTTATGGTTATAAAAATTTGTCCTAACACTGCCAACTAGCGTGTTATTGGATGTTTGCTACTCATTGATCTCTGTACATTTGCATCACCACATACTAAAACATATATACATAGATGTGTGTTAAACAGACAAAAGCACAATGGGAACTGGCTGTGGTAGATGTAGGAGAGGCAACCCCAGGCTGCCCCACCTTTGTTCTGATGTTCAGGAGTCCCTGAGGTGATGTCTCCATTCTGAGATCCAAAGCTGGTCATTAGAGGGATCCCATATGCAGGGGAATTAGCATGCAGGATCCTGTATCACAGACTGTGCAGAGAGTGTGGGACAGCTCCATTCCTTCTGAACTGGGAGGTGATTGTTCTCTGTAATCTCTAGCTCTCAGAATTCAGATAAATTTTATGCTGTAGTGACTCTGACAGGTATTGAACTCTCAGAACACAGTGCTGGTGACAAATCCAATAAGAAGACCAGAGGAAACCTGGTACAAGAGGAAAAAGGCTGACTACAGACCTTCATGAAGTTATGTGATCAGACTAACACGTGTTTATAAGGAATAAGTACACAGAGCTCAGCGGAAACTCTCGGGTTTTCAGCTTTTCATACACCTGACTCCTCATTTCTGTTTCTCAGGAGCATCTGAGACCATCAACCCATCACAAAACATGTCAGACCCCAAGACAGGTGAGTAAGGAGAATTCTTAGTTATAAGACTGGACACAGAGGATCTAGTCCGATCCATGTGCCCTGGGTGGACATCCAGTCATCCTGTGAGGATTTCAGTTTGCCCTGACCTGCTTTTCCACAACCACAGCCTCACAGTCCCAGGATCACACAGTGGAGAATCTCATGAGGATGGGCATGGCTGGCTTGGTCCTCATGGTCCTCGGGATCCTACTGTGGGAGGCTCAGCACAGCCAGAGGAGGACCCAACGTGACACCTGAAGGAGAACAGGAGAGACAGCAGGGCACCTGTGATGTTGGCAGAGACTGGGAAGTCAACCTTAGGGTTCCAGGGTTTCTGTGGGAAAGTTCGATCCTTATGTTGGAAACTGTCCTCAGATGGTGTGCAGGGAATGAATGTGTTTGGGGTGCAGGGTAAGGTCTTACCCCATAAATAACGTTTCTTCTCTCCAGTTTGCTGGGGATTTGGCTGACTGTCCCTTTCTCTTCTCACTACACAACCCAGGGAAACATCCTGTCCTGTAGTCAGGCTTGGGTCCTCCCCTCTGTGATCTTCTCTCTTTCATGTTCCTACTAATTTAACTTACGTGTTCCCCAGGGGTGGTATGAGCCTCCATCTTCTGGACTGAGACTAGAGAACTTGGCTCAATAATACAAATGATGAGAAAATCTCAGACTCCAGAATGAAAAATGACTGAATCACACGGTGCCCCACAACTCTCCAGGAATCTCCAACCCTTCAGTCCTCAACACATGCTCTTTACGTGGTTGCCCCTAAAATGTAAAGATGGCATCAATGCACCAGTATTTGAGGAAAATCCCCATGGGACAATGTTGTCGTGACTTTCAGAATATCATTTTCTTAAAACAAAGTCCTGACCTGTGACATTAGTCAGTAAGTCTATATAAACCCCATGTAATCACCTTCGCAACTCCAATGCAGTATCACATGTGTGACGTTTGAAAGTGATATAAGAACTGATGTGTTTTTATTTCAGTTTCTACTGTCTGGCCCTTGTAGATCCCAGAGCAATTGGCATATAGATTAATTATCATAGAATCACCTTGATGCAATCACTGATTGATTTATGTTTTCAGAATAATTGAGAATTTCTACATAGACAATAATGCTGTCTTCAAACTATGATGGTTATACCTCTTCCATTTTGCCAATATGTTCATTTACTTTACTTCTCTTACTCTGTTAACTAAGACTTCAAGTACACAGCTGAAATTGCATGGAGAAAGGGGGCCATCATTCCCTTCTTAGTGATTTAATGCAAAATTTCTGCCTTCTCACCGTTGAATATGATGCTAAGCTAGGTCTCTTTTTATATAACCTTATCTAGGTTGAGGAAGTTCTCTATTCCTAATTTACTGTGCACGTCATGATGAAGGGGTGTAGGACACTGGCAAGTGCCACCTCTTCATCGATACAGATGACTCCACTATGGAGATGTTTATTTTTACCTTGTTACTATGATCAGCTCCATCAATTGGATTTTGACTATCAAATGGCCTTTCTATGACTGGGTAAAATCCCCCTTACTGATAATGTATAAATCTGTTCACACGACTGTAGATAAATTAGCATGACGAACAGTAGAATGTGCTCTGATGAATGCATATTTAGGCAATGTGCAAGCATCAAAGAGTTTGCTCACACCAAGTCACACAGACTCAGTGTCACAGATGATGTGATCTTGTGGGACCAGCACTAAATATGTGGTCTGTCAATGACAAAAATTCATTACATGTTTCATACATGAAATCTGTTGAGGACTTTGCATCTATGCTGATAGACAATGTACGCTGTTCTGTACTTTGTTTTCTTATAATATCTTAGGTTGTATTTGGTATTAGGATGATGCTGGCCTCAGAGCATGGGTCCCATTCTGTGTCCCACTCTCTGGACCTGAGCATCCAGCTGCCTGGATAAATTCCACCCTCGTATTCTCCCTTTAGCATCTGATCAGATCTTCCCAAGAAGGGGAGAGGCCTATCAGCATCCTCGGCACACTCTCTCACCCTGTCCCCATGGAAAGAGCTTCCTGCTTCCCCACTGATTTCATGAGAGCCACAAAGTTCATGTTTGACTCCAGCAGGACCTCAGAACAAGATCTGACAGGATGGATGCTCAGCTAGTGACTTCCAACTAGCCTGGGACCTGATATGGGGGACAAGGATGTTCTGGGTGTTCAAGTAGTCACCTCATTCCACAGTCAGAACCAACAGCTAGCAGAGCATCTGTGACAGAGAGCCAGCTCCTCTTCTAATGACCAGGGAGTTCCAGAAGTCAATCACACGGTGTTGTGTAGTCTATACTGCCTATCGCTCTGATTTAAAGGGATATACAGAAGCCTAAAATAAAAATTATGCAGCAAAAAGAGTTTAAAGGTCAGTAAATTTAGCATGCATCATGAAAAAGAACAAATGGCTCTTTGAAAAGGTAGAAATAGGGAAATAACAATGCTAACAAGAAAAGATAATTTGGAGAAAAAAATAAAGCAGGGTGTATCTATAAAATTTGTTCTTTGGGCTGAAGAAATGGCTCAGCATTTAAGAGCATTGGCTGCTCTTGCAGAGGACCTAAGCTGAGTCCCCGGTACACACATGGCAGCTAACAACAGTCCATAACTTCAGTTCTAGGATATCTGATGCCCTCTTCTGACCTCCACAGGCATTGCATGACACGGGTGCCTAAACACATGCAGGCAATATACTCATAGAAGTAAAATAAAAATAATAAAGTATTTTTTTAAACTGTGGTATAGGCTCTTGCAGAGGACCTAAGCTGAGTCCCCGGTACACACATGGCAGCTAACAACAGTCCATAACTTCAGTTCTAGGATATCTGATGCCCTCTTCTGACCTCCACAGGCATTGCATGACACGGGTGCCTAAACACATGCAGGCAATATACTCATAGAAGTAAAATAAAAATAATAAAGTATTTTTTTAAACTGTGGTATAGCCAGGTGTGATGGCACATGCCTTTAGTCCCAGCACTCAGGAGGCAGAGGCAGGTGGATCCCTGTGAGTTCGAGGCTAGCCTGGTCTACATAGCAAGTTCCAGACCAGCTGGGGCCACAGGGAGACCCTGTACCAAGAAATCCAAAAAAAAACTGCATTATAAAAAATACAGGGAACTATTATGAGGGAAATGTTGAATGTGTAAAAGTCACTAGATGGAAAATAAAAATATACCATTTGAGACATTTCTGAGACCAGTAATAGAAACGGAGGATGTAGGATTACAGGACTAGCCCAGCAGAGTCCATCCAGCTGTGTGCTCAGTGATTGTGATGCATGAAGACTGAACCGTGAATGAGGTGGCCAGGGGTCAAGGATGGAGGACAAGCACGGCCCCATGCTCCTGGTGTGCTGCCTCTGCAGCAGGGACAAGTTGCTACAGCTGTGGCGGAACACCTGACCTGTCAGGACCAGAGGAGGCTGACGTGATGCCTTGATGTGATGCCTTTTTGAGACCGGAAGTCTCCTGAGTCGAGGTCATCACATGGAGCCCACTCCACCAGGAGGTGGCAGCACCTCTTCCTCCTGAGACTGATGCCTGCTGGGAGGACGGGGGTGGGGTGGGGAGGGGGGTGACTGAGCTCACAGCCCTGACTGCAGGTCTGGTTGGTTCTCAGGGAACAGCCCACCACTTACTCTCAGGTCGGGGAAAACAGCAGCACGGGAAGTCACTAGGAAAGGCATGCTGTGGCCCATGACGAAGTGGCCGTGACAGGACACAGGAATGCATGAGATACAGGGGGCGGAGTGCTGCTGCCCCTGTTATAACGTGAGAGTGCACACATAGAAACAGATGTACTGAGACGCTTGGGACATGCTGAGCACGATGGGAGCTTGTTTGCTGTATGTCTGCTTGTTTGGTTTTAGACAAGGCCCATGTATCACAGTCTGACCTT